GTGTGTGTGTGTGTGTGTGTGAGTGTGTGTGTGTGTGTGAGTGTCTCTGTGTGTGGGTGTGTGTGTGTGTGTCTGTGTGTGTGTGTGAGAGTGTCTCTGTGTGTGTGTGTCTATGTATGTCTGTGTGTGTGTGTCTGTGTGTGTGTGGGTGTGTGTATGTCTGTGTATGTGTGTGTGTGTGTTTCAGGAATGACGAAGGTCAAAGTGGGGAAAGAGGATCTGTCATCAGTGGAGTTTGTAGAGAAGAGAAGATCTGCTTTGGAAAGGTATTCAGACTAATTAATTTAAGTGAGATGAGTCGATCTGCACTGTTTTATAAAAGTTAATGTGTGAATAAAATATTATTTGTAGCTCCACCCATTCAATAATCTTAATACTCTTTGTGCTTTGTTACTTTTGTTATGAAACAAAGTCTCAGCTTTCAAATTCTGTCAGTTTCATCACTAAATTCAAGCAATAAATGTGTTTTTGTGGCGACCAACACATTACACGAGTTACACTGCAAAAATTATTATCTTACTTCGTGTTTGTGTCTTGTGTTCTAGTATAAATATCTAAACATTCTTGAATCAAGATGAATTTACTGTACGAGTGAAATGATTTGAGATATTAAAGTCTTGTTTTCTAAAAAAAATCATCAAAATTGTGTTAGTTTTTGCTTAAAACGAGAAAAAATATCTGCTAATGGGGTAAGAAAAATAATCTTAATTCAAAGGCTAAACAAGATTATTTTTCTTGCCTCATTGGCAGATATTTTTGCTCGTTTTAAGCAAAAACGAACACATTTTTAAAAAGTTTTTTTACAGAAAACAAGACGTAATATCTTAAGTCATTTTACTTGTACAGTAAATTCATCCTGATTCAAGAATTTCTAGATATTTATACTAGAACACAAGACAAAAACACTAATCAAGAGAATCATTTTTTGCAGTGTATGAATCGATTCGATACCCAGGCCTAGTTGGCTCCCTGTGAATCTCTGTTTTCTGTTCGGCTGATGCGCTGGAAAGATCACTCGTGTTCTGCTCTTTTGTGGCTAAAAGGTTAAGCAAGAAATATTAGATAAATAATTTTGGAGGTTTGCTGCTGTCCTGCCGTTCTCTCCGCCGCTGATCGCTGCTGCGCTCCTGGTTTTGCACAAACTGATGAATCGAATAAAAATTACAGTTAAGTGAGGCGCTGACATTTCTGTGCCCTTTTTATCCGGCCGCAGACTGACGTGAAGGTCAGCGGCTCGGCTGTAGACTTCATCTGGTTCAGAACTGGATGCTGATGGGAGATGTGTGTTTGTGTTGCAGGTATCTGCTGAGGACCGTCAAACACCCAGCGCTGCTCAAAGACACCGATGTCCTGCAGTTTCTGGAGAGTTCAGAGGTACCGTTGCCGTTTCTGTAAACCATAGACATCTTTTATATGGGCTCATCATTATCAGGATTTTACTCCCATCTGAATAAGCTACATCAGTAATTTTTCCCATTCTGTCTGTAGTTTACAGCATTTCGTACCTTTAATAAATTTGCATTAACAATAACTAGAGGTAACAGCTACTATTGACAATGTGGTAAAATTTCTACTGTTTCTTGTGGGTATAATTATGGAAGCTCATTTCCGCCACGGGATGAAAAAATTCAAAGAGGTAATTGCAATTTTCTTGCAGTTTTGAGAAAGTTTCTCAGAATTGTGAGATATAAACCCTGTATTCCCAGAAATCAACTCTGAATTGAGAAATAAATTCAGAACTGAGAGATTAAAACTCTCTGAATTTCAAGAAATAAACTTAAAATGGGAAGAAATAAACTCAGAATTAGAAAATATAAACTCTGAATTGAGAGATATAAACTCAGAATGACAAGAAATAAACTCTGAATTGAGAAATAAACTCAGAATTAATAAATAAACTAAGAAATACTAGAAATAAACTCAGAATTACAAGAATAAAACTCAGAATTGAGAAATAAACTCAGAATTACAAGAAATAAACTATGAATTGAGAAATAAACTCTGAATTGATCAATAAACTCAGAATTACAAGAAATAAACTAAATTGAGACAAACTCAGAATTACAAGAAATAAATTCAGAATTGATAAATAAAATCAGAATTACAAATAAACTCAGAATTAAGATATAAACTCAGAATTACAAGAAATAAACTATGAATTGAGAAATAAACTCAGAATTACAAGAAATAAACTATGAATTGAGAAGTAAACTCTGAATTGATAAATAAACTCAGAAATACAAGAAATAAACTCAGAATTGATAAATAAACTCTGAATTGGGAAATAAACTCAGAAATACAAGAAATAAACTCAGAATTACAAGAAATAAACTCTAAATTGAGAAATAAACTCAGAATTACAAGAAATAAATTCAGAATTGATAAATAAAATCAGAATTACAAAAATAAACTCTGAATTGAGAAATAAACTCAGAATTGGGATATAAACTCAGAATGACAAGAAATAAACTCAGAATTGAGATATAAACTCAAAAAATACAAGAAATAAACTCAGAATTGAGAAATAAACTCAGAATTACAAGAAATAAACTCAGAATTGATAAATAAACGGAGAATTGAGATATAAACTCAGAATTACAGGAAATAAACTCAGAATTAAGATATAAACTCAGAATTGAGAAATAAACTCAGAATTGAGATATAAACTCAAAATTACAAGAAATAAACTCAGAATTGAGAAATAAACTCTGAACTGGGAAATAAACTCAGAATTGAGACATAAACTCAGAAATACAAGAAATAAACTTAGAATTACAAGAAATAAACTGAATTGAGAAATAAACTCAGAATTACAAGAAATAAACTCTGAATTGAGAAATAAACTCAGATTTGAGATATAAACTCAGAATTACAAGAACTAAACTCGGAATTAAGATATAAACTCAGAACTGAGAAATAAACTGAATTGGGAAATAAACTCAGAATTGAGATATAAACTCAGAAATACAAGAAATAAACTCAGAATTGAGAAATAAACTCAGAATTGAGATATAAACTCAGAATTGAGATATAAACTCAGAATTACAAGAAATAAACTCAGAATTAAGATATAAACTCAGAATTGAGAAATAAACGCAGAATTGGGATATAAACTCAGAATTACAAGAAATAAACTCAGAATTGGGAAATAAAATCAGAATTACAAAAATAAACTCTGAATTGAGAAATAAACTCAGAATTGGGATACATGCGTGTGCTCTTTATACACTGAACACAGCTTACAGTCAGTCACACGGCAAAAAATGATTCTCTTGCTTAGTGTTTGTGTCTTGTGTTCTAGTATAAATATCTAAACATTCTTGAATCAAGATGCATTTACTGTACAAGTAAAATGATTTAAGATATTATGTCTTGTTTTCAGTAAAATAAATACAAAAATGTTGTTAGTTTTTGCTTAAAACAAGCAAAAATATCTGCCAATGAGGCAAGAAAAATAATCTTGTTTAGCCTTTGTGTTAAGATTATTTTTCTTGCCCCATTAGCAGATATTTTTGCTCGTTTTAAGCAAAGACTAACAAAATTTTGATTATTTGTTTAGAAAACAAGACTTAATATCTTAAATCATTTCACTCGTACAGTAAATGCATCTTGATTCAAGAATGTTTAGATATTTATACTAGAACACAAGACACAAACACTGAGTAAGAAAATCATTTTTGCAGTGCATCCAGCAGACTTACATGTAAACATGTATAAAATGGATTTTAAAAAACAGCTTATAAAAATATAGGTTCATAATTTGCATCCATGAAGAACCTTTGACAATCTAAAGAATCTTTTGTGCATTTGAAAGGTTATTAAAATGTTCTTTACACTAAGAAAAAATGTTATTTATAAGAACTGATCACTGAAGTTTATTTATAAGCATGTGTAGTATTATAATTTGTGTTTGTGTGTTTGTGTATTAAGTGGTTTGAGGAGAAACAGCAGCAGTTTGACAATCTGGACGTTCAGCTCAGAAAACTTCACGCTAGTGTGGAATCACTGGTGTTTCACAGGAAGGGTAATAATACAAATAATAACTTAAAAATATTAAGAACACATGTTTTATGATATATATTTATGATCTAATACACTACTAGTCAAAGGTTTGGAATCAGTGTTTTTTTGAGTCTCTTCTGCTCAGCAAGGCTGCATTTATTTGATCAAAAATGCAGTAAAAATGTGAAATATTATTAGAATTTAAAACAGCTGTTTTCTATGTGAATATCTGTTAAAATGTAATTAATTTTTTTGATCAAAGCTGTATTTTCAGCATTATTACTCCAGTCTTCAGTGTCACATGATCTTCAGAAATCAGTATAATATGCTGCTTTGCTGCTCAAGAAACATTTCTGATTATTATCAATGTTGAAAACAGTATTTTGTTTATTTTTATGGAAACCGTCAGACACTAGCATTCAAAGATTTGGGATTTAAAAAACAAAAATAAGTTTTTATTCATCAAGGATGCATTAAATTAATCAAAAGTGACAGTTAAGACATTTATAATGTTACAAAATGTTTCTATTTCAAATAAATGCTGTTCTTTTGAACTTTCTATTCATCTGTGAATCCTGAAAAATAAAATGTATCACAGTTTCCACAAAAATATTGTGCAGCACGACTGTTTTCAACATTGATCATAATCAGAAATGTTTCTCGAGCAGCAAATCAGCATATTAGAATGATTTCTGAAGATCATGTGACACTGAAGAATGGAGTAATAGTTTAACAGATATTCACATAGAAAACAACTGTTTTAAATTCTAATAATATTTCACATTTTTACAGTATTTTTGAACAAATAAATGCAGCCTTGCTGAGCAGAAGAGATTTGTAATTATTCCACACGTTTGACTGGTGATGTACAGTATATGCTGCATAGTGACTCTTCACTCTTCACTCTCAGAGTTGTCTGTGAACACGGCGTCGTTCGCTAAAAGCGCGGCTATGCTGGGAAACTCGGAGGATCATGTTACTGTGATTGAGAGTGTGTGATATGAGATTTGCTCAGACTGAAAGCACTAAAGCAGAAATTATTAATGCATAATGTAAAGGCTATTTTTGGCTTCCTATAACCCCATGCACGAGTGCAGGGCTTCATGATGTGCTGGTTTTGTCACGTGTCTGTGCTGCAGGGCGTGTTTGATCAGCGGATGAAAACATGGGCCAAATGCCAGGATGCTCAGGTGATGCTGTTTTTCCAATAAACTTCAGTTCGTTTTCTGACAAGGCAAACATAAAAGATGTCAAAAACATATGTGACCCTGGAGCACAAAACCAGTCATAAGCGTCATTTTTGTGAAATTGAGATTTATGCATCAGCTGAAAGCTGAATAAATAATCTTTCCATTGATGTATGGTTCTCATGAGGAAACACTGAGAGAGCGCTGGGGCTGATGGGAAATATCCAGCACGTTTGTTTGCCTTCCCTGCCTTCGGTTCATTCATATCTCTACTGTGTTTACCTCGAATCACCTGACAGCTGCAGGAATTCATGACAGTTATTGATTCTTTTAAGCACGAAACATTTCCAGCCTTTTTAATTTCTGCGTTTTCCCCGTCACGCCCCACAAAGGAGATCGAGGAGGTAGGACCTTCACTTTGATTTGATTTGCTGTCTCCATCGTCACGTCTGCTGTCTCACACACACTTATATTTGCATTCTGTAGATCAGAGACTAATTATGGATTCATCAGACGCACCTGACATGCTTACAAACACTACAGCCTCTTTAATCTCTCACTTTAAAGGAATAATTGAGCTGAAATGAAAATGTGCTCGAGATCAGGATGAGTTTGTTTCTTCATCAGGTTTGGAGAAATGTAGCATTGCATCAGTGTCTCAGCAATGGATGCTCTGCAGTGAATGGGTGCCGTCAGAATGAGAGTCCAAACTGATACAATGCTACATTTCTACAAATCTGATGAAGAAATTCAACACGTTTTCATCTTTAGGTGAACTGTTCCTTTACCTGCTGCTGGTTCATTTGTAGTATTTAATAAAAGCTGATGTCTTGTGTTGTTTAGTTGTAGTTTTTAATGCAGGATTCATTATAGTTCATGCCCTCATTCCATAAATCATCATCATCATACGCTCACTAGACCTTCTGACCTGATGTGACTGACTCTGTTGGTTCTGCTCATGACGGCCAGTTTTTGAGCTCTTTGTGTTTAACACACACACACACGCACACACACGCACGCTGTATGTGTGTGTGTGTGTGTTTAGTGGGAAGGTAAAGTGCAGCAGGGTGAAAGAGATTTTGAGCAGATATCAAAAAACATCCGTCGAGAGGTTGGACGATTCGAGGTGAGTAGCGTAGCGTGTCTTTGCTCTCGCTGTTAAACCCAACGCTGGTTTCTCTGAGCTCAGTGTCTCTTTCTCTTCACAGAAAGACCGAGTGAAGGATTTCAGAGTCGTCATCATTAAATATCTGGAGTCACTAGTTCACACACAGCAGCAGGTGCGTGATCAGAGGAAAGAAGCATGTTTTCCAGATCAGCAGCTGGGAATGTTCATCTCATGTTTGTTTTGTCTGTTTTTCAGCTGATAAAATACTGGGAGGCGTTCTTACCTGAAGCCAAAGCGATCGCGTAATTCATCAAACCGCCGTCTCTCTCTCTATTCCACAGTATGATCATGCAAGAAAAAGCTGCACAGACTTAAAGATAACACTACATTAATAAACCCAGAATCTGAATGTCTTTGTACCTGTTTGGTGTCTGAAGATCCAGCGATCGTCTCTTCACGATTCACAGCTCGTTCGTCTCAGATTGAATGTCGTATTAGGCAATGATCCGACAGGGGAAGGCCTTCTGAAGCGATTTCTGTTCTCCTTTCTCTCGTATGTACAGAATGAAGCATTATTCTCTCATAATCAGTATTTAAGAGCATCAATAATCGACGAGGCTTAGCTTGTGCATGATGGATGAATATACATATGTATATTTTTTTATTTTCCTTTGTAGCCTGAAATTTTGGGACGTTTCTGTTGATTCATTGTTCTAACAAATTTTTTAATCACAAGTATTTTTTACTCTACATACCTGTGCAACCTTAATAAAGGAATGAATCAGTATCAGAACTGGACTTCATGTTTTTGGCTTGTAGTTTCTGCACGCTAAAAACTAAATTTTTGGCTCAAAAAATAAATACATACATAATAATGTAACAGTTTGCATTAATCTTTTGGAGTTATGACGATTTCTAATAAAATTGTGTTTACTCAGTTAGAGGAGCTTAATATTTTGTTGCACAAACACAAATTTTAAATTGATGACTCAAAAAGTATTAAGTTAACTCATTTTTTCAACATAATTAAATGGTGTACCTGAAATAAATTATTCTGGTTTATTTCAGTTAAAATTAACAGCTATAATTGCACATGCAAAATTTATTTATAAATTGTTTTGCATAAATTTGGGCTTACATGGTTAATGCAGATTACAGTTTCACCAACAGTGTTTGGTAGTAATGCATTACCAAGTAATTAAGCTTCTGTTTTTCTGTAATTTATTTACAGCTATTTCTGATGTAATTGCATTAAATAACATATGAGCTGTAGAAAAATTCTATATAAAACAATAGTGGATTTAACATCAAAATTAAAATGCAAACCATGTCCATTTAAATACTTCAAGAACAACTTTATATTACAATTTGAAAGAAATAATAGAGCAGTTTCATGTCCATTCTTGTGTTTTTAACTGGTTGATATGGGATTTAGAAAGTAATGCAATACTTTTCAGAGTTAGTAATGAGTACAGTAATCTAATTACACTGTTGAAGATGTAATTAGTAGTTAGTGATTAATTATAAGCTCTACTCTTTAGCACAGTGATAACCACAAAAACTGAAACATTTAAACAAAAAAAATCAACAAACTCTTAACCCCTTAACTGTCGCCTTGGCATCTTTTTGTTGTTGTCCTTTTTCTCTATCAAATCCTTTAGTAATCATCATAAACCATATATCATTTGAAGGCTTAGAAGCCCAAGATTCATCCTGTGCAAACCATTTTGAAATCATGGAACATTGCGTTACCATGGAAATGGTACTTTCAGATCTTTTGGCGGTCTCCTCCCCCTTAGTGGGCGGTGTCAAGTGTCATATTACCAAATGCATTAGGCTCGTTTACAATCAAAACTTTTAATAATCTTGACAAAAAACATACCATTGGAAAGGTCTGAGTCTCAGGATTCCATATTTTGAGATAGAAGTAATATTGACAGAGAAATCTAGACATTTGTGACAGAAAAATGCATTAAAAATGTAATGGAGTTTGGATGGCACCCGGTGGCTGTTTGTGGTATTTTCTTTACAGTAAATTTAAACTAGCATAACTTTTTGATACTTCCACATTTGCGATAAACTGCTGATTTTCTTCTTTAAAAAGAGACCAACCTTATGTCTGTATTCCAAAGTGTTCATAAATTACAACAATTTAAGTTTGGATAGTGCACCTGCATGCCTATTTTAAAAAATGGGGGGTGACAGTTAAAGGGTTAAATGTCAAACATAACAGCATTAAACAGTCACAGGTCTCTCCATTCACGAAATAAAAAAAAATAAAAAAAATAATCTTTATTCAGTCCTATGCAAAGCATAATGGGAACTAGAAATCTACTGCCAAGTTTGCACGTGTATATTAACTTACTGTAACTTATTTAAAAAAAAATAATAATAATTTGCATGCAATATTAAGTTCATGTAATGATCAGCATTATTATCTCAACAGAACTCATCAAAATAAAGTTTGCAACTTAGATTTCAATCATGCATTTTTGTAAAAAAGTTGATCCCCCTCAATTTCTTTTCAGAGTTCATATATGTTTTTCTAGTTCTGTTAGTAAAAACAAACCGCTGGAAAAGTCCTGAGATCTGGGAATGCTTGTTTCTTAAGAACTTGTGCATTTAGTTGTTCAGAGAGAGAGAGAGAGAGTGCAGAAGAGCAGCTGATCGTCTGTCACATCGCTGCTTAAACTCTCTTAAACAGAGGGTGCATTTAGTTGTTCAGAGAGAGAGAGAGAGAGTGCAGAAGAGCGGCTGATCGTCTGTCACATCGCTGCTTAAACTCTCTTAAACAGAGGAATAAAAGAAAGCGTGTTCTTGACAGGCCCCGCCGAGCATTTCAGCGCTCTGCATATACGTCAAAAAGCCCAGGCCTGTCCTCATCTCTGTCCCGTCGTATTGGCAAGCTGTCACAGCCGCCGTGGCGTTAGGAGCTGCTTCATGATGAAGGCTGTCGTGTGTGCGTCTGCAGCTCTGCAGGAGTGAACGGCTGCAGGTGTTTCTAACAGAAACCGATGAAGCTGATTCTCACCGAAACACGGGGAAAACAATGCTTTGCATGAAGAAAATAAGTCTTAGTTTTAGGATCTTTAAGGTGTGTTGCACTGTGACATGCTGTTACATTAAATTCACATGTTCATATAATCCTGCAGTGAGATGAAGGTAAATATGATTATATTGTTATGGACGTCTGACTGTGGTTTACTTCATGTTCTCTTTGGTGATTCTTGTTAGATTCAGATTATTGTGATATAGTCATTTTTCTGTGATGCTTTGCAGTCAAGTTACTGTATTTTCTCATTTAAATTCACATAAAGGCAGTGAAACAAATCCTGCCATTATTGATGTATTATACTTTGAAGTAAATAATACCCTTTTCACATCATAGTAATGAGAGTGAGACATTTTTCCATCAGTACTGATAATTTTGGGGGGAATGTCCACAAATTATTTTATTTTTTTTAATATTTTTAATTATATTTAAAAAAAATTGACAAAAATATATTTGGTAATGTATGTTCCACAATATATTTTCATAAATATATTTCTACCAATATATTTTGTAAATATAAATAAATATTCACTATATATACATTCACATGTCACATTCGAAGAAAAAAATGTACTTCTTGTCTATAACACTTGTGAACATATAATACATTTGAATGAAAAATCAACAAGGAACATACTTTACAATGTAAATATATATAAACACACACACACACACACACACACATATATATATATATATATATACAGTATTACAATATATAAATGAACCATTATTAAATCATAAATCTAGTTTTGATCTCTAGTCAATCCATTGCATTTAGCATATATATATATATATAGGATAATGTGAGGCTGGTAATGTCTTTTTTTTTTTTTTTTTGGGGTGTGGGGTGCCA